GCTCATGTAATAAATCAAACACAGTGGCACCCCACCTACCTCTTTCCATTTTAGTAAACGCTCCCTTATATATACTTATTTCTATATATGACATGAATAACCAAACGAAAGCTCAGAATGTCCCCTTAGTGGCTTTCTTAGCCATTTTAACATGTTTAGACGCCATCTCTTCCAACCAAGATTTTAATGGAGGTAGGTTGAGTCTTTAGTCTGCTCAAAATTTCATACTTTTTTAGATTGAAATACAGCTTAGTTACTAAGCTTGACAAATTATAATGGAATTCTATTGTATTGATATAGTAATTTATGATGTTTTGGTTATTCAACTGTATATATAAAACCTAAAAAAAATTATTTTGTTTCATATCCACCAAGTGCAAAATTTTAAAAGGCTTAGTAACCTACATCAAGCAGCAACCGAGTACAAAGCTCGTAACTAGAATATAATAGTTTGCTTTACTTCTATATTTACAGTTCTATGTTTTAAGAAAAATAAGTTTAAGAACTTATTTCCAAATAGGAGAAGTTACAATGATGTGGCTCACGTGCACTCATGTTACCAAAATATAAACTTACCTTTAGTCTTTACAAATTGACATGTCTTGGCTGTGTTTTAGTAGACTAGTATTTTGTAAAATACAGTCACATTTCCATTATTATACATTATATACATATATAGATTATTAGTATTGTTAGCCAAGCATGGCTGAAAGTTCAATATAATAAATATATATAAATGTATAATGTTATGAGATTTAAGCAATTTAGTCCAAACATTTATGTTTTCATGTTATAATTCATAGTCATTCTAGAACAAAAAAGGCATAATTTATATTTATTTCCTAATTTTTTTAAAATGCTTATGAGATCAGTCAAATCGACCAAATATGTATGGAGATTCGTTACTAAAAATAACAGATAAAATATAAAGTTTTCATACATAAACATTTGATAACTATCTGGACATTATAAATATTTTGCATGTGAAATTTGAAAATTTTCTGATGCACAAAAGTAGTTTTAATCTTAAAATGAAAATTAATTTTCATGTTGGATAGGCAACATGCGAAAAGAAAAAAAAAAAGGTACGAGAAAAACATTGCTTTACAAACCTTAAGACTGAATAAAAAAATTTTATATTTTGGGTATGAATGCATTGTAATGTTTACTGGTAATCTGCCAAATTTTGTTAACATAGGCTTACTAATTAAAAAGTATAACGAATTTGTTATTATATATTTATTTTAATATCAACGTTTGTTTAGATTAAATTTATATCTAGAAACATACATGGCTTATACTTTTAAATATGTATTGAGAAACTACCACCTATTCTCCAAAGTTGTAGGAGATTCTTGAGAGTAATAATCAACAATATATGTGTGTACGTAAACACTTAAATTGTATTATTACGTAATCTGAATTTTCTAAAAACCTTCCCATGGCTATAAATATAACCAACGCAATGTACCAAGGAGAGTATCTATTGTTACGACAGCGGATGTCACGTGATGCTGGTAACACGTCA